GGACTTTGCCGCGCCTAGCCTCTGCATGGAGCCTATCTTCCCTTCATCTTACCTAGCATTTTCCTTGGTCTCCCCTTCTTGTTTCTCCAAGGATGCTAGTTTGCTCTTCTTTGGGCAATCTTGCACCTTATGTGGACCGTTGCAAAGGAAACAAGACATGGGTTTATCATAGTTACCAGATCTTGCTCCCTTGCTCGAGCCTCCATGTTGGTACGAGCCTTTCCCTTCTTTGGAGTGTTGTCGATGATCTCCTCCTCCTTTGCTCTTCGAGTTCTTCGACTCGTTCGGCCTCTCACTCTTCTTGTACTTCGTGAGAGCTTCTGCCGTTGCCAAGGCAGTAGCAAGATCTTGCACTCCACGCCTATCGAGCTCCAACTTTGCCCAAGGCTGCAATCCGAAAAGGAAGCCAAACAAAGCCTCCTTGTCCGGCAGATCAGGGATCTCGAGTAGCAATTCCGAGAACTCCTTGACATAGTCACGAATTTCGCCGGTGTGGGTGAGTCATCGAAGCTTTGCACGAGCTTCCATTTCCACATTCTCCGGGTAGAATTGCCTCTTGATTTCCCTACGGAAATCCTCCCATGTGTCAATCACACATGTGCCGCTTTCTATATCACCTTGCCTTCTCCTCCACCAAACCATGGCCGTATCGACCAAGTACAGGGAGGCGGTGCGCACCATGACTTCATTGTCATTGATGCCCGAAGCCTTGAAATACTGGTCAAGACTCCAGAGGAAATTCTCTAATTCCCTCACGTTCCTCGACCCACCGAAGTTCTTCGGCCTTGGAACATCTACCCGTGGTGTAGATTGAGTCGCGGCAGGTCCGTTAGCCATGGCTCATTTGACGAGATTGAGCTCTCCTCGAAGCTCGTCAAATTCTTCCCTCACTTCGTCCACCTGGCCTCGAATGGTCTCCCTCAAGGAGTCGATGGCGTTGGTGATGATGGTCACAAACTCGTCTCTGAAAGCTTATAACCCCACCTCCAAGCTTGTCGTTCGAGTGCCCATGCCTTGCATGTCGTCCTTCGAAGTCTGCACCTCTGTGCTGACTTGATCGAATTTCAACTCCATGTCCTTGAACATGGTTGTATGCTTAGCAATCTTCATCTCCGCCCTCGTGAGCCTCTCCTCGATTGCAACCAAAGGCTCTCGAGTAGATCTATCACGATGCTTCTTGTTGTTTGGATCCTTCTTCTCCTCACGACAGCGTTGTTGCTCATTGTTGAGAACTTCGCTTTCGGATCCAGCCATCTCTTCGAGGTTCTTTCTCACTTGCTGAGCTACGACCTTGGCTCTGATACCACTTGTCACGGGCCAACTCTTGGCCGTGCGGCATTTAGCACTCAAGTCTCGTTAGAGCGCTAAGTCAGCCTTCCTCGTATTCACTCAAACTCACAAGTTGGGAGAAAAGCTCTAGAGATGGAAAGCTCTCTTATTTATAGATGAATGAAAAATGAGAGAGAGGGATGCTTATATAGGCATCTTCTCCACTTAGTACAATGTATGTAGGCCATCATTAATTAATGAACCTAGATAGTCCCTCCATACATGAACTAGCCCCATACATGAACGATAATTAATAAGGTGAATGTATAAAAGATAGATAAGGGGGATGGATGTACATTGGTGCATGAATCGAAAGATGCATGCATGTACTTGCATCCTTCTAGAATGCTCTAGAATCTTCTGCGTAACAGCCCCCACGGGTCCTTCTGATGCTGCCCCCGGTTCTTCAGCAGCCCCGCGGTCACCGTTGCTGACCCGTTAGCGGCCATTTCTCGTCACAACTAGCAAATTCTAGCTGGCCAGGAGCATATCCACGCCCGCCTTGATCGTGAGCGGGAACGCGGTCGCGGTCTCATGTCCGGCCAGCACTACATCATGCATTATCTGGGCCAGGACCAGAACTCGGTCCACTACCCCTTCGTGTAGTCACTTGGGCACGAGGACGACTACCCACCTCCCACAGGCGATGGTGGCGATGTGTTCTAGTGAAGATTTGATGGTTCTGTACTTCATATCTTTCCCAGACTGAGACTCCATGTCATTGTTGGTTCTCGCTTTCCTTTTCATTGGATTGTAGACATGGATCTATGGTTTCTTTCACCCAGTGTGTGTGTGTGTGTGTGTGTGTTTTCATGACTTTCGCTATGTGCCCTTGGACTGGTCCCCTTCCAGTCCCCCTGCACTTGACTGGTCTGCCTTCCAGTCCCCGTTCCTGCTCTTCATTTTACGGTAACATCGTTCCCTTCCCTCTGCTCCATTGAGGACATTTTCGCATTTAAGTGTGGGGGTGCTTTGTCTTTATTGGAACGTATTTGTGTGTGCTTGGGGCCTAGTCTGCTGTCCAAATCTTAAGATTTGAGGGCTCCAAGTACTGATGTGTGCATGATCATATTGGCATTGTGGTTTAATTGGTGAATCGAATGGCTGATAGAATTGATGCATGACAACTTGATTGTGACTAGGACAACCGTTAATGATGACTGAGATGTGCAATAGAGTTGTGTAGGGATTCAGTTTTTTTTAATTGTCTGCTTACCAACTGTGATTTGAATTGATCACTTATTTTCTACAGTTGTTCATGCATCTAAAGCATATAGGTACCATGTGAGATGATAACACCTAAATTATACATATATTTGCCTACACTTTTACATCCTAAAATAAAATAAATTGTATTAAGTTCATTCAATTTCCCGATTTTATGTTTGGTTTTGTGTTTGAGTCATGTTTCAGGGTATTCTATCCAATAAAAACGGAATAATGTGTCATTTCCACAAAAAGATGGTTAGGGTTCGAAATCTGGCGTCGGTGGAACTCGAGCCCGCGACGTCCCGGGCGAGGGCAAAGAGCCGTACCACTCCGGCCGCGTCCCCTTTTGTTATCAATATACGAGACCCATCGTGTATTATGGTGATGAATCACGGAAAGAGAGCTAATTAACAATGCAGAGTCAAACCACAAACTGCCTATTGCTAAACATAAGGAAAAGCTGGTTCATTTTGGGATCGTGTGAAGCTAGTAGCTGAAGCAAGCTGGTCCAAATAAAGAAGCAAGCAGGAGGATGGTTGGTGTCAAATGAAGAAGCAAGTTGGTCCCAAAAATAGAAGCTAGCAGGTCCATTATTCGTCCTAAGCAAGCAGCTCCTCCTCCCTTGCCTTCGTAGCTGAAGCTAGTAGCTGGTACAAAGCAAGCAGCTCCTCCTCCCTTGCCTTCGTAGCTGAAGCTAGTAGCTGGTACAAAATGAAGCAAGCTGGAGAATTAAATGGACAAGCAAGCTCGTCCAAATAATGAAGCAAGCACGTCCATTAAGCTCGTCCAAGCTCGTCCAAATAATGAAGCAAGCTGGAGAATTAAATGGACAAGCAAGCTCGTCCAAATAATGAAGCAAGCACGTCCATTAAGCTCGTCCATACCTGAAAGCTGCCTCGTCCATGAATGAAAGCAAGCAGCTGGCCATTATCAAAGCGAGGGACAAGCAAGCAGCTGGTCCATTTATTACAAGCAAGTAGCTCATTTTGTACTATAAATAGAGGGAGAGGACACACACTAGAAAGGCTACCATTTTTCTTCACTTTGCTCTTCCTTTCTTGTATTTGAAGTTAGCCAAAACTCTGTCCACTTTTCATTCCAAACTCTTGTTACTTCTTTTCATTTCGTTAGTCATATCTCGTATTTCATCCATCGTGGTTCTCATGTTCGTGTTCGTATTTGGGAATACCGTGGTATATTTCGTTATTGAGATTACCGAAGTAAGCTTCTGTTCTGTGGGGTTTTGATAATCATTTGTGGTGGTAGATTGGTCGGTTTCCACCGTCTTCGCCCAACGATTATTCCCCCGTCAGATGTTTGCTAGGTGTAGTCTATTAACTCAATATACATACCGTATTCTCGACCCCTCCGTCTTTGTCGTCGTCATCATCATGGTTATGTTCTCAACCTCCATCTTTCTAAATCTCATCATGTCCGGCTAATCTTCTAGTTGTTCCGGATTTGATGAACCCTAATATGTTTTACTTTGATTGAGTGGTATCTTTGATATAGACGTGTTGTTCTCGTTCTTACGATCTTTTCTCGACTTATCATGTGCAAGTATCAATAGTACGCGTCTATTGTATATTTTATCTGATACATGTAAATGAGACTGCGAGGTAATTTTGCATGTTAGATCCCTCGTGAAAAGAAGGAATTGATCGGAGCCACCAGCAATGGGGTCACGTAGTTCCTCTGGATTAGCTTAAAAACCTAATACGAAAGTTCATAAATCTGGTTATTGCTTTGGTTTAAGATTTTTGTAAGCCACGGTTTCACTTGATTCTTAAGTCAAAAGGGTGTTAATACATGTGCGAACGGGTTAACACTAAATTGGGAATTTTCACGGTCTAAGATATTAACACTCGTCTATGTTAAATTCAACTTGTCTGTAAAATGCATATTAGGGGGATTCACTTCCAGGACAACGCCTTCTCCACTTGATTTTACTTTGAAAACTACTTTATTGTGTTTTATTATTGCGTGTGTTTTTATTTCTAAACGAAAATCAACTAAAAACGATTGACTAGATAATAGGTAAAAGCTGAGTACTAGTACACGAAGTCTCTGTGGATACGACCTTGCTTCCTGCTATACTACATTAGAACGATAGGTACCCTTGCCTATTTTTCCTGTGATAGTTACGGGCGATCATGAGATTTGAGCATTCTCGTTTCTTTCTTGTGCGATAGATCCCTCTTCCATAATGTGTAGCATTCACGTTGTCACTAACTAGGATGATGGAGGCATAGGAATAGCCCACGACCAAATTGACTGTCCTGGTATGTCATACCCCCAAGTCATCCCCTTTGAGCGTGTCACTTTCCTTCTTTCGGTCTACAATAAATAAAAAAGGGTTAAAGACACATTTGGTCACTGAGATTACAAAATCGAGACATGTTTAGTCACTAGAAAAAGTTAATATCAAATTTGGTCACTACAATTACTAAAACTGGACACATTTAGTCACTCGTCGTTAGTCTCCGTCCAACTCCGTTAATGAAGTCCGTTAAGTGCTGATGTGGCAAACAGAATTGCCTAATCAGCCGGATATAACCCAACAAAAATAAAACCTGACCCGCCACGTCATTATAACCTGCCACGTCATTAAAACCAACCCAACCCAACCCATGACCCAACCCCACTAACCCTTCTTCCTCCTTCCTCCCACCTCGAACAGGTTTGCGGGAGGAGGTGGGAGGAAGGAGGAGAGCGGCGACGGCGGCGGCGATTAAATCGGAGAGGGAGCCGCAAGGGGCGTATTCCAACAACAAGTTGTAGATTCTGGGTCCGCCGTCCTCTTGGGTTATTTGAGCGCCGAAGCACTGTATGATTGCTGGGTTGAGGCGGAACTCGGCAAGAATCCGGTGCTCCAATTTCAGAAACTTGGCGTTGTATTCCGGCGTAAATTTCACTGCCATGAGAGGCAAATTTGGGGTTCTTGGAATTCCGATGTAGACCTTGCCGTAGGTTCCTTTGCCCAGCAATTTCCCTCGACTCCAACGAATCGCCGCCGCCGACGACGACGGCGACGGTGGATCTTGAAAGGGATGGTTTGCTATGACGTACATGCTTGCTTGCTTGCTTTTCTTCTGGTTCGAGAGCGTGAATCGGGCAATCGAATTCAAAGGGGATTCAGTGATGAACCCAATTATAGAAACGGATTGACGGGAACTGATTGCCCTAATCTCAGATGCAAGTAATCGTCATTTTTTGGGAAGCTTTTGTTCTCCGCAAAAGAGGCGGTGTGAGTCTAAGGCGGTTTGTCTTTTCCATGCTGGTTTTGGATTGCGGAGCAAGTTAGGAGGTGCCGAGGTGGGAGGAAGGAGGAAGAAGGGTTGGTGGGGTTGGGTTGGGTTGGTTTTAATGATGTGGCGGGTTATAATGACGTGGCGAGTCGGGTATTATTTTTGTGGGGTTATATCCGGCTGATTAGACAATTTTGTTTGCCACATCAGCACTCAAGGACTTCATTAACGGAGTTGGACGGAGACTAACGGCGAGTGACTAAATGTGTCCAATTTTAGTAATTGCGGTGACCAAATTTGATATTAACTTTTTCTAGTGACTAAACATGTCCCGATTTTGTAATCTCAGTGACCAAATGTGTCTTTAACCCATAAAAAAAATCACCCTTTTGTATCTCTTAGAGGATCCACAGAGTGGTTTTTGCATGTTCTTTACTGTATCTGCTATAAATAATGTGAGGGTTGGAGGTAGTTCTTAAAAGTTGGGCATGTGTTTGAAAAATGTGCAGAGGTGGTGGTTCTTTCAAGAAATGAGAAAAAAAATAATAAAGAAAAAAATGAAAGCAAAGGAGAACCACCACCCAAAATCTTAATCATGTTCATTAGATAGTGTTTCTTAGCAGTCTGGCTTGGGAACACTAGCAGTATTGTAACCGCCTTCACTCTTGTGCTCTAAAGAACATGATTAATACAGAATGGCAAAGCAAAAGTAATTGGTTTGAATGAATGTGGTTGTGATTGGTTTTGGAACTGTGGAACCTTGCGTTATGAATACTTCCACCACCTAAAAGGCCTTTTCCCCATGTCCAAGACCCTAGTCAGTCATTTGAACCTGTGTCTAAGACCACCAGATTAGTTAGTGATGACACCCAATATGTGAACTCTAACATTTAGAGGCTGCCGCTATGGTGAAGAGACATTAGGGATTGAGAGAATAAGCATGCGCATTTTTCGCATCAAATTGTCCTGACCCCACTGGTCGAGAGTGAGCAATTCATTTCCTTGACCCCGATGAGGACCTAGATGGCTCGGTCTTGATTATGATGTCTTGAGTTTTATGCATGAAGTGACTATCTTGGATTAGTGGTTGAGTCTAGTCTATGTTGGTTGGTGAACAAAAGGGAGACTCTTCCTTTGCTCAATTTTGCTGCACTCAAATGTCATCTGTGGTGGTTGTCTAGGTTGCCATTGAGGTTGTTCATGTGTTGATGACTAAAGGCTAGTATGATTCACGTGTTTTGTGCCAATATGACATGTCCCAAATATTTTGAGCACCTTGTGTCTGACTTTGTTTGCTTAGGGACAAGCAAACGGTTAAGTGCGGGGGAATTTGATAACGATGTATTTGCACGTGTTTGCACACTTATTTCTTATCCTTTTGAGGTTCCTAATCATGTATCTTTGGCCTATTTTACACTGGGTTGTGCTACTTTTTCACATTTCAGGTCCCAAGCGTCGAAGGAAAGGCTAGGCACGAGTTTCGGGTCGTTTGGAGGTCGTTCGGTGAAGCTGAGGCAAAAAACACAAGCAGCCCTTTCCAAAACACGGACGTGTTCCCCAGGCCGTGTTTTTACTGCCGAGGGCGTGTCGTGATGGCTACTGAGTAGTCCAAAACACGGGCGCCAATGGAGCAAAACACAACTGTGTCACTTCTTGGGCACGACCGTGTTTTGGGATCGACGCAGGCATGGTTGCCGCACATGAAGCAAAACACAGGCAGGCAGAAGCAAAACATGGCCATGTCCTATACCGTGTTTTGCCCAATCTCGGATTAAAAGGAGATTTCAAGCAAAATAGAAGGGGAAATCCGATTTTGAGAGCTAGAGAGCAAAAAACCTAGATAGAGAAGGTGATGAACAAAATTTCCAAGTGCCCTAAATCGATCTTCAACACCATTGGAGCTCGGTGGAAGCTTGGAGGAGTGTCGATTTATTACCAGAACCAGATCCTCATCCTTCACAGAATGATTTCCGCATCTGAAGCAGATTTCTCTTCACTCTCTATGGAGTAAACTCTCTCACTCACCTGGGTATGAAGAACCCTAGATTTGTATGTTAGGCCTGGTTGTATGAACCCAAATACAAGTTCTTTGATATTGATTATATTCAATTGAGGCACGGTTTTCTGAATTGCATGAATCCTGATCAAGTTCCTGTTATTCTTGCTTTGACCAAGAAGGAGAATATCTGCCTAGGTTGATAGAGCACCCTTGATTGAAGGTAGTGAATTGACGAATTTAGTCGAGGAGTCAATTTACTATTATGTACTGGATTTATTCCAGTAAAGGAGGTTTGGTACGTTAGGGCCTCAGTCTGTTTACTCCGGTGGAGGTTAGTCGCCCGCTGGGGACTCAGATTGAGAGGGTCTGGAGACCTTTAGTCGAAACTACAGACTGTCTAAGAACCTCCCGCAGTATAATTATCATTGAATCTCAACTTTCAAATTACAACTTGGCTTAACTGCAGTCTAGGGGGAACCATATCGGTGACCTCTCTCTAACTTGGAACACAACATTTACTGCTTTTGTTTGCTAGTTTAGTTGGAACTTCACTACAGTTGGACCACTAAATAATAAGAATCTCACGGAGTAGTCATCACACCTAGGACCCGGGTTGCCATTTGAACCTATACTCGCTATACTACGCATTAGTAGGTGGTTACACTTGGCCACTTTCTAGTGTAACGGTACAAGCGTGTCAATGCCCAAATTCAAAAAAATTTGAGGGCTCCAAGCAATGCTTGTTCAGAATGGCCGGTTTGATGGTGAATCTCGTGCTTATTTGGCATCGTTCTTGAATTGTTGCATATAGTCGAGTGCATCCTATTAAGATGAATGAGAGTGCATTAGGATTGTGCGAAGGCTTAGTTTTCATGTTTGCTTAAATGAATGGGATGCATTGACTTGGTTACTCTTCGATTACAATTGCCATGCATCGAGTTTGTGAATGTGGAATAGACGATTGGGCGGCTAGGTAGCCTGTGAGTTTTGAGCCAATCGTTTTCTTCTGGTGTGAAAGTTCCCTCTCACCACGGTGTGTAGCATCACAGTTTTCATTAGCGAGTAGGATGGAGGCATAGAATTAGTCCACGCCCAAATTTTGATTGTCCCGAAATGTGTTATCCACTAGTCAACCCCTTTGAGCCTTGTGACTTTGAGGGTCGTTCTTAAGTTAGGAGCTTCTTGCTTGTGAGCTTTATGGTGTTGATAGAACGACCCCAATCCTTTATTTGTTTCTATACATGAATCGTCCTTGTGTCCCGGAGCTCTCGCCTTTGAGTTCCATTGAGGTTCTACATAGGAGGATTGTGTGTGGTTCTTGCTAGGAATGAAAAATGAAGTGTAGTATTGGAGTGAGTTCTGGAAAAAGAGCATTGGTCGTTAAATGTATAGGTGGCAAAGGTTTTACTCTCTAGTACCCCCCTCAAAAAGAAAAGAAAAGAAAAAGAAAAGAAAAGAGAAACGAAAAAGAGGTAATAAAACGGGGTAAATAAAGTAGAGAGTGCCACAAAAAATCAAAGTGTATGCTCTAGTAGGGGTTTTTTGGCACTCAAGCCAATGGGACCCCCACATTGTTTTAAAACTCCTTCACTACCAAATCGAAAGGTGATAGCAAGAGAAGACCGAGGAAGAAGGCTTAAATGTAGTTCATGATGGGTGATAGTTTGGAAGGGAGAAGTAAGGCTTTTGGCTGATTCTAGTGGCCTTTGTTTGTAGAGAAGGTTCTTAGTCGAAACCATCGAACCTTCGGGTTTAGATTTATGATGTAGGACCTCATACCATGTTTTCCACCACCCAAAAATATTTTTCCCCATGTCCAAGACAATTGCCAGTCATCTGAACCCACGTCTAAGACCTCCGAACAAGCTGGTGACGACAACTATCCCGTGAAATCTAGCGATTTGAGGTTGCCGCCGTGGTGGTGAGATGGTAGGGATGAGTGGTGACGATTGTGCACATCTTTTGCACCAAAATTTCCCGACCCCAATGGTCGAGAGTGAGCGATTCATTCTTGTTCTTGCATGTTCATATCTATCCTCGTGAGGACTTATGTTGCCCCGTTGTTTGTTCCTTTGAGTTGAGTTCTATGCATGGTCGGTTTTAATTGATTAGTGGCCCGGTTGAGACTTTCATTGACTGTGGATAGAATGAGAACTTTCCATTTGCCCATTTTTTATGCAATTGAATGTCATTTGTGGTGGATGCCGGAATTGTTTGAGATGGTTCGAGAGTCGATGCCCAATAGTCATTTGAGATTCACAGCCTTCTGCCTTTTGAAATGTCAACCTAGGTAATATTTCAAGCTAGGTTCTACTTTTTTTACCCCTCCTTTCTTATTCGTTTAACTTAGTATTTCATCATTCCTCAATATATTTCAAGCTAGGTTCTACTTTGTTTTTTTTTTTACATATTTCAGGTCCTAGCACGTGTGGAAGGATCGAGGACGAGTTTTGGGATAATTGGAGGTCAAAAAGCGCAAAACCGAAGAAAAGTCCAAAGTACCGTGACAATTGCCCATAACAGTGAAGTGAAGGCATCCAAGAAACAGCCGCAGTTCACGGTCGGACAAGGCAGTTCATGGTCTCCTAAGACCGAGAACATGGACTATAAACCGTGAACACCGAAGCGTCAAGCGAGGTTCCAGAAGTTACTAACGACAAGGCAGTTCACGGTCTCTAAGACCGTGAACTGGGGCCATTGACCGTGAACCCAGGAGAGTGAAGCGATGCATTTTGGACGACACGAAGTTCACGGACGCGTTTAGGTGTTCACGACTGCAAACTGGCCAACGCGTCCGTGAACTGGTCACTTTCAGGCAAATATG